ATATAATCTTGATTTGAAGCTTATATATGTCTCCGGCCAAAGTATCACGTTTTAGAGAGACATGAAGACAAATCCGGTGCCGGTGAGCAAACTGTGAATATTTGTACAAACCTTTTATGCATTTATAGAGGTTTGTACAAATATTTTCTAATTTTCACGTGATACGGTTATTTTTTTTTGCTCGGTTTTCTAATTACTTCGTTGATATACTTTATTTCAGGGGTTTGATTTTTATAATTCTGGCGACCCAGGTCAAACTTTCAAATGAGAGTTACCGCTGTTTCATGAGTTCTCACTTGGCTTAACAAATTAATAATGTGTCTGTGTGTGTGTGCGCGCACGCTGAAATAAATTCGTCACACACGTCAGTTTAAAGGTTCGTGAACCGGGCTAGCTTGCAGCCGTGGAAATATCGTGGCATCAGTGGACCACTGACACAGGAGTCCTCTTTCTCTTCGTACGGGTCAAGCTGGTATGCGCTAAAAGGACGGGCGTTAATATAGACCCTAATGGGGTGTGAGCATGCATGCTAAGTGCTAACATTGGAGAGCCACGCAGTGTACATGCTATTAAATAAAATTGCACGATTGCCGCCCAAGTGGGAAAACACCATTAAACTTTTCCATCCCCAAGTGGTGTCTTTCCACAGAAAAAAAAGGTACATGTTGTGAAAACTTTTGACATATAACAACCCATTCGTTATATGCACACACATATGATGTAAGTCCACTGTTGGATGAAGTTCTCCACACACACACTGTGTTGGTTGTGGGTGTTGTTTAAGCATACTTAACCACGCTCGCCAGTGTGGTATGGTGAAGTGGTGTGGGCAAGCCTGCCCACAACCGTTTCAGAAATAAAACACCACACGGTAATGAATTTAACTCGCGTTGCCGGGTTCATCGAGCAGTGCTCGAATCACTGCCACTGTATGCCGTGTGCATACAGTGTATTGTATAAACACGAACCACAGACCCAGGAAACCATTGAAGGGTGGCAGTGTGGGTGGTCGAGGCAGGTTCAGCACATCAGTGTTGGCACGTCACCCCCGATGTGTGGTAGACTGCTGGCACATCACTTTGATCCCGCACGATTAACTTTCACGCGGTGCCACCACTATCTTGGACGGCCATGCATGTGTGTTTTGCAAAGCATAATGTGTGTGTGCCGCTTCGATAAATATAAGTGAGGTATTTTGCCAGAGCTCCCGGGAGTGTGTTTTTACTATGTTATAAACATTCTTCCTATGTTTTATTTAGGGAAGTGAGAAGGTTGAGCCCAGTTTGTAGGTAAAGGAAGGGTGATGGGCCAAATGTCAAACGCCGTACAGGCGTTGCTGCGAAAATGAGTACCTGCAGCATTATTCTTGGCGGGTGTAATCTCCGTGTCAAATCAGAATCTTAATTTAAATCGGAGGTATTCGATGAGCTATGAAGCCCCTTTTTTTCTCGGATGATTTTGAAGCAGTGTTTTGCTAGGTTTCATTCCTTCTGGCTTGATAGCTCGATTTGTTCAAATCAACACGTGAACAGGGGTGGAAATGAGCCGGAACCACCCGGAAAGCCATGGCAAGAGTGTGTTCCGGAAGGAACAAGGTACAACTTTAACGGCGGGTAGAATTTTTTTATTTTGATATATCTTTAATAAGCTAGTGTCCATCATGCTCTCGAACTCCCAAAAGGTACGTGGGAGAAAAACATTCGTACACTTGTGTAAAAGGTCTGCGAATATACCGAATGAATATATAACATCCTTTTATCATTTTAAATGAGCCCTCATTTTCCACATTCAAAACCTTACTGATTAATTGGCTGTCGGGTGGTGGTGGGTTTAACGACACATTTACGCGATCTAACTCAAGAAAAAGCTGTATTGTGGATGATATTGTTCGCGAAAGCCTGCGTGTTAAACGATCCAGCTATAGCGGAGGAAGGTGGGGTGGTAGGATCCAGAATGGGGTATTTATGAGTTCCCTCGACAATTTCTTCCCATTTTCAGCACTGCAATGGCTGAATGTCATCAAATATTAGCACTTGCAAGGGGCTGAAGGCTGAGAGTCACAGAAGTAGCTTGTCGACAATGCAGCGTTTCCATACTTTTTTACTGCCACTCTTGCAGATGCTTACAAGAGAAGTTACTCCTGGTTTGAATTGTAGGCATGTTGGTGATGCAGAGATGAGTTTAATGTTAGCGCAAAAGCTGTTTTAATTGTGCATTATACAGAGCGATATAGAGTGCAAATTATTTATAAACCTCTGCATTTCGTCCACCAATATCAATGTCTTTATTAAATAGTTTAACACTCTGCAAGGTATGGATGGAGCCATTGCTTTCACAACATTCAATCTCCTGTTGGGAAAAAAGTAAGGGTCATTAAAGTTCAATAGGGGTATCTATAAATGGATATAAATTTATTTAGCTTTGCCCATATATTCTCAGCTTCAGTGTCACATCCTTTAAATAAGCACTTGAAAAATGAAGTTGTAAAAATAAATCATTCTACCTCCAGAATATTGTTGTTGACCTATGTTCAAACACAAGCACGTGTAACATTTTGTGTGTTCTATTTCAGATTTCAAAGTTAGATTCAGTGTTACATTCGTCACCAGGAAAACCCCTTTATGCAAACATTTCCCGTCCCAATGTGCAAAAACAAATACTGGAACTTTAATTTTTTTTGCCGGCCGAGATTTGTTTGATTTTTTTGCGAGTATAGTTATGAGCATAGACTTGGCTATCTTTGTGCACAAACTTCAGCTGTTTCTAGCCCCTCTAGAACATAAAAACATCTGATACAACGACCTGTGTATCGTCGATAAACATTGTAGTTGATGGTACATTATACCTCATTTCTCAGATGAACAAGAAAATTGTGAAACACACTGGATTTCTCTGGTATATACACACAGTTTCCGAAGTTCCAAATGTTAGCAGTCAGCAGACTTGTAAAACACACATTCTATAGGCCGCTTGCTTGTTGTTAGAATGGATAGGTACAGGACAGCGTTAAGGTGGCACGGCACGTCAGCCCTCCGAAGTTTATGTTCAAGAACGGCCGATCTCGGCGTTGTTGTGTGAAGCGTGGAAGTTCACGGCGATGACCGTACTTTCCAGGAGTTGGTGAAGTTGGTGCACCATGGGTGCAACTGCGATGATATTTACTTCCCTGAGAGCACATTGTGCACAAGACTGGCAAAGAAATTGGCCAGCCAAAGCAAGCCAATAGTTGTCGTTTTTAGAAAAGGTAATAAAATGTCATTAAAATTTTATGATAAATAATCCAAGCCATATATATACAATCTTACCATTCCGTTCATCCAGACTTCTGAATAATAGCGCCTTTGACGAAGAAAATTTAATGGAAAAGAAGAACAATGGAATATTTAATGCTTTACAGCGTTTAATTAAACTTTTTTTTCTACAGAAATCTTAACATTTTTGGGAACATTAATGGACAAGCTTGCACAGAGGACCTTTTTGTTTTGTAATATGCGTCGAATCAATTATGCATCATTTTGGCGGAGGATAAATTAGAGCTTTGTTCCACGTTCACTGGATAAAGATACGATATTTATTGTTGTAAAATTCCTTTTTCAGCAGTTATTTACAGCTCATTTACGGTCAAATGAGAATGCAACATTTGCTGACGTGGCTAATTTTGGAATCTCGGCGTCTTACGTTCCGTGACCCACTTCGCGAGTGGTGGCCGACTCGCTTGCCCTTTCGTGCATGCCGTGCGTTCATTGACGAGGGACGCAAGCACACGCCCTGCCTGCTTAGCCGGTGGCGCAGGTTTCGATTTAAAGCTTTCGTGACTGCAAGGATTCATCTTCTTTGGTTCTTTCGGTAAAGTCACGTAGAATGAGAATAAAATAATAAATTGATAAAATAAAATAACACAATAATATTCTCACGACGTTTCGGCCACAACACAAGCGGCCTTCATCAGGTGAAGGGGACGGGACTGTCTGGAGGACAGCGCTGGAGGGGAGACTTTACCGAAAGAACCAAAGAAGGTGGCACAGGGTTGGTTAGTTCGGGGAACTTCATAATTAGGGGGGAGGGCGAGGAGAGGGGGGTTCTCCCGGCTGTACTAACATTGGACTCCATTAGCATTCTTGGCGAATTCCACGATCTTTTGTAACCCGGGCTCACAATGCGCGTTCTGTTTGTGTGCCGGCTACGTGGCCGACTTTTGTCACACATGACTGGCAGGCGGGGGGGGGGGGGGCTGCCAAGGGCGCTGCTATTCGCACCCGAATAGACTTAACCTTGATGGAAATGTTCATTTGAGTTTGCAGAGCGTAATCGAGTCTTGGGGTCCTGTTGAAAGTCTACGACTAAATACTAATTCCAAATACAAGATATATGCCTTTTAGGCCAGAGTTATACATGTACCAGTGTACATATAGGGCTTCCCCACGGCACTTTATTGATCACACTTCACGCTTGTCAGGGCGGGTTGATGAAAGCGGGAAGCATAGAGGTACAGTACAACAATTCTATATTTTATATACTGCCCTCTGCTGCCCACAACAAAGTTGCTCAGCCTGTAACACCTGCTGTGTACGGTAGTCGCCCATCCAAGCACTATCCAGGGGTCAACCCTGCACAAGCTTCCGAGACCTGCCGGGCCCGGGCTCGCTCTGGGCAATTTGGTCATCGGCAACGTTACATACGGTTACAAAATAAACATCTGGCCTACTAAATAGAACGACCTATGCCTAGCAACGAAGTCGGGGCACCACACTCGAGTAAACGGGCAGTGAGTGATCTTTAATCACTGTCGCGCTTATTATCCATCATCCATGTACGTCTGGGAAGAGATGGGGCACCCCCAACCACGCTCTTGCCTTCCTGTCTGACAAGTGGTGGCGAATGTGTGGGACAGATGGGGGGTGGGTGGGTGGGCTGGTTGAGCCAGTGGTTGGGTAATGCTGATAAGGCAGAGAGAGAGAGAGAGGGGGCTGGGGCTGTATAGGGGTGGGGGTGTGTGTAACGCCTGCACAGTCAGCCTCGCTTGTCCGGGGCGCTGCACTCTCATTGCCGTGGATGTTGGGGATCACGTGACGGCGTGCGTGCTCAAAGAGCGCTGTTTACGGCGCTCTCGGCTCATCCTGCCGCGTGTTGATGAGGCGAGAGACGCTCGTCAGAAGGGGCCCAGTCGACGTTAGCCGGCAGCCGGCAAGCACGCACGAACCCGCCGCCGTTTCGTTTCGTTTCTCAAAGCTTGCCTCTGGCGGTGTTCGATTTCAGGCTTAATCTGACGCAGCTGAACAAAAGGCCTCTTCGGCACAGACCTTTGTGCTTTCGCACTGCATGCGAGCGGTCCGTGCTGTGAGGGGGGGTTTTTTTTTAGGCAAAAGCGGTGGGGCCGAGAATCTTGTGAGCCCTCAAAGCGCGAGTGTTTTTTTTATTTTTAACGTGGGTTTTGTTTACTTACCATGGGCTCCGTTGGGAAAGAGAGCCTGCAGCTGGATTTCAACACATGCGAGCAGTTTGAGAGAGAGTATTTAAACCTCAAAAATGAATTGTCTCTGGACCATGTTGACTATCGCACAATCAAGAGGGACTTCCGTTCCAGGTAAAAGACATTGAAACGCAAAAAAAGTGGAATTCAGTCAATTGTATTCGACTCGCCGTTGAAACATCGCGGCTTGTCCGTGCGAATGTGCTGCATGCGTATGAAACTTGTGAATTGGTGCCGAGTTGCCTTTTGTTGGTGGTCGTTAAAGATTAGATGAATGATGGTTTTGTTCGTGAATGTAATGCCATCGTGACTGTATACAGCTGGTACCAATTGTCAACCCCCCCACCATGCTTTAGTAACAGGTAACTTGAATGATCACGATGTAACATGTATATGTTACCCTTGATAAATAACTACTAAATTTGTATTTAAAGCTTTCGTGACTGCAGGGATTCATATTCTTGGTTATTTCGGTAAAGTCACGTAGAAGAGAAACAATAAAATAATATTTTTATTACGTAGAAGGGAAACAATATTTGTATTATTTTATTGTTTTCCTTCTACGTGACTTTACCGAAAGAACCAATAATATAAATAACTACTAGTACAGCAATTTCATTGTAACCATATTACTTGGGCTGTACATTCATCATCTACATAGCAGACGTTTTGATTTAAAGCTTTTGTGACTGCAGGGATTCATATTCTTGGTTTTTTAAAATTTTCTTGTGGTTTTCACACCTGATGATGATTGCTTGTGTTGAAGTCGAAACGTCGTGAGAATTTTATTGTTTTATATTTTTATTATGTTATTGTTTCCCTTCTACGTGACTTTACCGAAAGAACCAAGAATATAGCAGACGTTGCTGTTTAATTTGGAGATTGTATCTACTGTTGACTTCAAACACGTACTAAACTAAAATGAATGGTTTCGTCGGTTAGCAAATATGAGTCAGTTTGCAAAAAATAAGTCGCTGGCTTTTCACTAAATGTTGTATTTGTGACGTGGATGTAAATTGAGCTAATAATTTGTTCCCTTTTATGCAGGATGACCTTGAACACAGGTACAATGAAGTGATTGCTCTGTGTGTGCTCCCCTTATAGCAGTGTCGATTCAAAACATAGATCGTGTAAAAAAAAAGTTGGTAATATTCTTGCCCTTCCAAAATTTATAGAAAAACAAGTTGACCTGGTTTTACTCGTACCTAGGTGTGCCCGATTCATTTTGTGTAATGTGTTAATAAATCGCCTAACAATTTGAACTATGTAATTTTTGTAAAGCCCATCGAGTTCCTGTAATCGTGGGTAGCATTTATTGCGTCACAAATGACTCATTGTGTGCAAATCCATTTGATTTGTCCATTGTGTGCAAATCCACGTGATTCGTCCATCGTCTTCACGAGCAGCGCCGCCCTCCTATTTGCTCAGATCTCTGCGCCTTCCCACTCCGTATGTGACCGCTTTAAAGCGACGGGGATACGTATGCCCATTTACACATTCAGGAGCACGCATTAAGACGACTTGTTAGTATACAAATTCGCCAAGCGTGCAAACGTAGAACCAACTAGCGTTACGTTTCACAGTTAATCGCCGAGGGGAAACGGTTCATGTTGATTTTGTTGCAAAATGACGGTCCACATTTACCGGTATGTCTGAAGCGGCAGTCCGTGTTTGCAGACATGCGGTTTAATCGTTGACTGTAACAGGAGCTCACTTGAGATGACGAGGCTTTAGAGTCGGGCAGGTTGTTGACGGAGCCTTCTCGAAACCTCATGACGCCTAAACAATTTAACAAATGGCTGTTCACGTCATACTTGGCCTATCGGAGTGATTTTTTGTTCGTGCTCAAGAACCGCTGCTGCACGGCAGACGTGACCACCTCACCGTGTGTCTGCCATTTAACGTGTATAAACCCCTTGGCTGGGTCAAACGCAGTGTTCAGTGGCAACATCTTTTTGCACACTGCCACCCGTTGGCAAATGCTCCGTTTGTCAAAGAAGATGGTTCCATCTTGCGATGGACAGAGCCACTGACTGGCGACCGTAGATCACCCTTTTTAGTCGTGTGACGCAGATTGTCACATCTCCATGGCTCCCGCACTCCCCGAACATCCCAACTCCCCCCCCTATTCCTGCACTCGATTTAAATGCTGCGTTGTCTGTGTCGCTGGGCAGGCTTCTGAGGAAATGGGCCATAAAAGCATTGTGAAATCTGCTCTCTTTTCTTTTCGGCCATTAACCTCTGCGATTTAACGCACACGGCACATTGAAGCAGATTTGTGTTTTATATACAGCAGCGCAGTACGTGTAATACGCTTCACAGATGCAAACAAGGGCATCCCTTAATAGTCAGCATTTCCACTGCCCACTGTCATGTCACTATGAAGTGCTCAGCTGTATCGCTGTGCCTGTTACTGCACATTGGCATGACGTCTGTGATTCTGAACATTTGCCAGCAAAAACGTATTGTCACTGGCATGGCAATTGTGGTGCTCTCTCGCGTTTTTTGAAAAAGAGAGACTCACGATTTTTGTTTTCGATTTTCATCTTTTTTTCTTTCTTTTGACGTTGAAAGCGTTTACTCGGTGGTATCTTAGCAAATCCCTGCCGCCTCCAGCGATGGTGATAGTCATCTGGTGGGTAACGTAGGCTCTTCGCGATGGGGCTGCTGTTGATAGGCACCCTTCGGAGGCTGACATCATCCATAATAAATTGAAATAGAGGCGTGGTGGCGCCCGTGTTCATGATTGCCGGTTACCAGGTGCGAACTATGCCACAGAGTGTGTGGTTAGCAGGGGGTGTTAAAGTGAGCACTATGGCTGAAAGGTAGGTCGAGTTGGTTGGTGTATTGATGTGATTGGTAATTATACATGAACAACAATTTTACTTGAAACGTATATGTTTTTTGTTAGTATGTTAAATAGCTAATGTACAAAATTGTTCACCACTTGGGGGATTACGTAAGTATGGTTCTGGACAATTAACCAATTTTGCTACAGATTAACCTAACCGGGTAGAGAGTGTCATGGGGACCCCTCTAATGCCCGTAAGAAGATTGAGCCTCAAGCTTACTGGCACCACCAAATTACACGGTGTCTTTGAAAACTCACGCGTGTTAGATTGCATTCGTGGACAAGGGGGTAAGGGTTTCAACTGTGCCCAGTCCATGTAAAATCGTGAGCACGTGTACCCTCAAACAACACATTCGCTCAGAGCATTGAAGTTCAAAGTCTGTGGCAGGCTTAAAAAATTATATTTTTGGAACCAAAATATAGCAGGCGTTTTTTTTATTTGTGCAGGAGTGAGTAACTTCTACATCACGGGACCTCCTTTGCCAGTACCAAAATATGATCATAGCTCTACGCCTTTTGGCGTCCTCTGGTCTAACACCGTTTGAGACGAGGCTCGGAGGCTCATAAGAAAGCTGTCTCTGGTGTGGATCAATCAATTTCAAGGACAATGCCAATATTTTATCAGAGTATATTGTTTGTTTGCATTATGCCCACAAGCATTGTGGTTAATGTAGACATTATACCTTGTAAAAGGTTTCAGTTTGGTGTTTTAACATCTTAACACCTGTTTTGTTGCCAGATAAAAGGGGGAAAACCTATTATCATATTAGTAACTTGGCTGTGGCGTTTATAATGTTTATAAAATTCATCAATGCAATGACCGATTTGAATTAATTAAAGGTTCTAATACAAGCATTGTTCTTGTTGAGGCATGCAGAAAATGTTCTGAGTGTGGTAGAAGAGGATTCCCTCAGGTTTGTTGGTGATTGTATTTAGCACTGTTTGGGATCGGTTGCAAGGCTATGTGGCTAGGTGTGCCTGCCCAAGGTCAATTGTCCACTGTTTATTCTTAGGCTTTTGCTCATTGTGTTACCTTTAACACTTATCTACCTCCTGGTTTATCATTTGCCAAGTTTATGTGAGTTCAGTAGTGAAGCAACACGAGTAAAATGCCACAGCAGATCTTGGAATTAATACAAAGTGATGTTATCGTTCTCTTGTTTGGTGGTGTGTTTTTCAGAGTATTTGTGAACCGAAGCCTTGCCATGGAGAAAATCAAATGCTTTGGCTTTGATATGGACTACACTCTAGCCGGTAATAAGCGCTGGAAAAATTCAGACAAACGCGTGTACGGCTTGGGCTCGCATGATAAGGTGTGCGGCACAGTAAAAAAATCAATACTTAGAAGTAGTCTGCCGAATAATGAAATGAAATTGCAGTCATTGAAAAATAAATAACATCTTCTTTGGTTCTTTTGGTAAAGTCACGTAGAATGAGAATAAAATAATAAATTGATAAAATAATAACAAAATAATATTCTCACGACGTTTCGACTTTACCGAAAGAACCAAAGAAGATGAATCCTTGCAGTCACGAAAGCTTTAAATCGAAATAAATAACAGTTGGCATTGCTACCTGATCACGATACATAGCGTACCACATTTCCCCATGGGACCCCACATAACGATGCCATTGCTGTAATTGTTAGGCAGGACTGTCGTATTCCATTAGATAATATACACTTACCTTTAACGTAATTAAATATCATTGTTTTGGCTGTACATTTTATTGGACCGCATCTCCACATTGAAACTTGTAATAAAGTGGGTGTAACCGGTTTTATAAAACATGTATGAAATGTTCTACTTTGTTTTCCATTTAAATATGGAGTATGCAATTGGTTACTTACAGCTTTAGTTTGTAAGTGGAGGATTATATATATTTTTTCACCAAAATAATTCTAACGAAAAAAATACTGTATATTATGTTACAGGCTTTCTTGTACAGTACAGTTATTTTATTTAAGATCAGGTAAGATTCACGGCCAGGCTAACATGAGTGGCGATCGATATCTGAATTGGTCCTGGGCCTTCGTCCCTTCACCAACCCACACTGACAAGTGAGCGTGGTGAAGTATACGCAGTAGGGGAAGCCTTTACATAGCAGTAGATTGAATCAGAAATATACTTTGCAACGAAGATTTGGGTGAAATAAATGCATTGTAACAGCAAACAGGTTCTAGTGAAACACATTAAAAGTCAGAATGAAACATCACACACATTAAACATCATAAGTTTCGATGTCGGGTTCTAGGTCAGTCAGCCCCCGTTAATCTCAATTAAGCATTGCTTGAAGGTATACAGCACCCTGATGGTCACCAGATTGTAGATGGCATTTAGCAAGGGGGTCCACTTCGGAGCTGTTTGATAGGGCCCGCCTAAAAAACAGCCGCGAGTGCTGATGAAATTCATACTTGGAATGCATGGATCAAATAAAGTTTTCAAACTTGGCAAGCAGTTCCGTGTCATTAATTAACTTTCCTCCAGAGCGATTATTCTTATGTAGAAGTCTGCTGCCACCGCATTTATGTTCAGGATAGGGTAGCAGTGTGATCCATTGTGTTTTAATCTACTGCATCTAGTCAAGTGTCCCAACAGGTAACCACGTGCGCACATCATGATGAATGTGCTTGAACGTCTACCGGCCCATGCTTGTTTTGCCCAGAGTGATGCTTTTGTTTGTCTCTGGTGACATCACGTACCTTACGTAATGTGAAATGTGTTCATGCCACTAAATTGTAATTTTATGAGGTTTATGTGGTGCGTGACGATCGCTTAGCCATACTCTTTGTTTTTTTTCGGTAAAGTCAGCTGGTAAAAAATAAAATAAATGAAAACAAATAAATTAAATCACGACGTTTCGGAAGCAACACAAGCAACCGTCATCAGGTGTTGACTGCTCCAGTAAAATTACTGAATCTAGAAAGGATCGCTTAGCCGTCATGTGATTGTTGGTCGAAAAATGTGAAGTTGCCTTGGATTCGCCCTGTTTGCTATAGCATCACGTTCACTTTTAACCGCCCATGGTGTCCCTCTAAGTAGAGTTTCAGTGGCCGTTACATTACCCTTGCGTGTGTCAAGTAGAGTAGCGTGAACCCACCTTGGGGCAAACGATTATTGACTCGGAGAAGGTCAGTCGTCCAGTGTGAACCCACCCTAAGCGTTCTAAAGTTCAACCGGACGAATATAGCAGCACGTTAACTTCACACCTCCTGTGTGACGTGGTGGTTACCTTATCTTCAGCGGTCCAACTGTGAAACCCCCACCTCTGTATCCCCAAAGTGTACAAGTCGCCAGAGTACGAGGCGCTGGGGTTCGAGCTGACGGTGGAGCGCCTCGTCAATATCGGCTATCCCCAGGAGCTGCTCAGCTTCGAATACGACCCCAGCTTCCCGACCAGGCGAGCACAAAACACGCGTGTCGCCGGGTATTCCCGTACTGTCAGTGGTCCACATCGCAAGGCAGGTTCGCTCGCTACCTTCACAAGTGGAAACTCAATGAACCCCTTGCGTGCGCGGTTGCAGAACACTGATCACTGAACCCCGAAAACAATGGCGGCTTTGAAGATATCCATGCTCAGAAACCGAAGCCATTGCCTGGTTAAACCGGTTAATCTGGACAAAGACTAATAAGTTACTATTCTTTGTTCTTTCGGTAAAATCACGGAAAAGGGAAATAAGAAAATAATACAAATAAATGATACATATAAAACAATAAAACAAATATTTGTATTATTTCCCTTCTACGTGACTTTACCGAAAGAACCAAGAATATGAATCCCTGCAGTCACGAAAGCTTTAAATCGAAATTTAATAAGTTACTATTCATTTAAAAATACACAAGAGTATTAATGACTTTCACCCTCAACATGTTTAAACTCAAACCAATCTAGCAGAGATCGATGCATGTTGTTGATATTAGTTCATACTTTATCAGTGTAAAGTTTTAGTTGCTGCTCTACATCAACATCAGCCACGTGAATAATAAGAAGGGTAGAGAGCTTCAGCTTGTACTTTTTATCCTGGGAATTGGCCACGTGGGAGAAAATTTTTCTTTGTTAAACATTCGATTGATCCATCGTGGCATTTTATCCACGATTGTTAATATTCAACAAGATTAGTTTAGTCTGGTGTCACGTTGTTGGTAGCTTAGGTACATTTGTAAATATGTATTGGTGGAATAATTAACTGTTGCTATGTAACCCCCAAAGCTCCTTCAACCTGCTTGCACATATCAATGTTATTTAATCACCACTCCAATTGCAGCAAGTAAGCACTACTCTTGATACCCAATTACGTTTGGGCACTGAGTACCAGAAATGCTCATTACAGCCACCTGTTTGCTTTAATTATCCCTTGCAAAAGGATAACATTACATGGGTGTTGCCGTTGAAATTATCTGTAAATGCTCATCCGGGAACAAAAAATACTCTGCCTTTTTAGGTTTACTGATCTAAACTATTGATGTGCAACTGCTCGCAAGGATCTCGCGAGCATAAATATACAAATCGCGTGTGAATGACAGCACAGCATTAAGATACCACAGCCCATTGCCCGATGTAATGTTGGTGGCTCACCATTGATGTGTTTAAAAAAACCAACCTTGATTGTAAAGCACCTCTGACAGATAATACTTTTTTGCGTGCACTCTTGTCAGCGCTGACACGTTTGCAGTTGTTTTGTTAACGCGTGAAGATGGCGTGGCCGAATGAAATCTTAAATATTTCCGCTGCTGCAATAACTGTTCCCAGACAGCCTTGTCTTTGTTTGCCCGGTAATCAGCTATGCGATGCTGTGGGCAGACTGGAGTCAGAATGGAAAGGCAACGCATGATATGAATTATACTTTGTTTATTTTTGTCCAAGATATTTTAACTTGCACTGTGCTTTTGTTATAACAGGGGGTTGGTGTTTGATGCTATGTTTGGAAACCTACTGAAAGTCGATGCATATGGAAACATTCTGGTCTGCGTGCATGGTTTCAACTTTATGAAGGGGTGAGTGAATTAAAACATTTTGCAACGTGGGCAATGTTGCATAACACTAACAACATTTGTTTGTTGTTTCTGGGTAGTAAGTGTTATTTCCTAATTGCTTATGCCTAAAAAGTACAGAAAATGGCTATTATGCCCCACAAACTTTGCTTTTGTGAGCAGGACAGTGATATTTTGAAATTTACCTATTCTCAATGAGAAAACGTGGGCATTTATGTCATTCCTTCACATAATGTCCTGGTCACAAAAGCAAAGTTTGTGGGGAATAATAGCCATTTCTTTTCTTTTTAGGCATAAGCAATTAAAAAATAACATTACCCAGGGACAAAAATCGCGTTACATAGTGTAATCTAAGCCAATCTGGTTTTCGTTTTCATTTGTTCCACGAGAATCATGTGCAATATCGAAACTTGACACCCAGTCGGATATATTCTGTGGGTTGCGTCTTCCACAGTTGCTGGCATTTGAACAGTGTTCTGCCTTCTTGTGTTACAGTCCCGCCGCAGCGTCGCTCAGTCTGAGTATCGTTTCATTGGCGACGTGCACTGTTCTCAGATAAATGACTAACGTTGGAACATGCTCTGCCCATCCAAACGAACCTACAAAGCGTCTCGGTTACCCTTACACGCGTGTGGTTTCTCGCCAGCCGCGGCCCCACCAATGTTCTTTTTCACGAAGCAGTGCACCTTTTGAAAATCTCCCGTCAACGACGTGAATTTCCCACGACCATGCAAATTGAAATGCGGGGTTGTGGTACTCTGACACGAGTGACATCGGGTTGACTGTTCTCCTCGGTGTCTTGGCAGGCGAACAACAGCAAAAGAGATCTTTCATGCCTTTTTAGTTAGAACGCTTTGCCTGTGAAATGCAATGGTGACGATTGGTGGATATGCCCTCTTGTGCGCATTATGCTCTGGTGCTTGATATGAGTCTTACTTGACATTTTACTATGAAAGTGTACGTTTACAATAGCTGGAAAACTAAAACATTAAAACGTGTGCCTCTGTATTTGAGAGATTTATCAAAGAAACCAACTGTATTGCTGCAGTAAGCTAAAAGCTTGATTGATATTGCAAAAGTCCCACACTAGTCTTTATATAACAAAAAACGGTGCTTTTATTCTTGTGAACTGTATTGGCCTTGGGTCAAAAGAAGGCTACTTCCGCTCATTTTATTTATTACACATCAATTTTATTTTCCTTTTCATTTAGTTTTTTCGACAGCTGTACAACTTATCCCCATCCACCTTCATTTTGATCCTGGTCCACTATTAATAATTGCCCTAGATGTGCATACGCTCATGTTCGTAGGCACACACATATATGCAGTATAACTTAGTTTTGCTCATATTTATATTGAAGACCAAATTTTCACATGCCATAGTGATCAGAACTGTGGATATTGACCAAGAAAATGGAAGAAAAACTTAAAAGCATACGGAGAAGCATGGTCTGGTGCATTATTTTAATTACCCTGACACACAGGAACACGTGTGGATCGGACGACACGAATGCACACTTTAGAGAAGTCACATTGACTTAATAAAAGTACGTATTCTTTGGATAAACACGTCACGAGACGGAATGATGGCCAGTGGTTCATATCGATGAGGGAGTTTCAGCCAAAGGAGGGAACGCGCTGAGAAGATATCCAACGCAGAGGTGGAGCGATTAATTGTCTCGTGTATAGGAGCTATATAGATTGCTGCATCGAGAGACCATGAGCGATGGTGGTGGCTTAGAGCACGCCTTCATCTTTCAGCGAATAGATATTGGTTGATGATATAAATTATTCTCGCGCATCTGGATATAGAATCTCGCTTTTGCCGGAGCGACACCATGCCAATTGTGTTGTCGGTCATACGACATGATGAATGTAATATACCAATATTGAGCCAAGGTTCATATTACAATGTATTTAAAGACCGTTTTTAAAGTTGAGTTTCCCCTATTGAAACTACAAATGTGCCTATTTCCACGAGGGCTGTATGTATGTTTGTTAAACTTCTTTCGCACCGTGCGCAGCCAACAGCGCTAATTGGAGGCGCAGCTGTATAATTACTGGAGGTGTTGCCCAGGTGCATGAGTAAATAAGTTCTGTTTTGATGAGGTTTTTGTTTTGTTCCTGTGACTCAGGCCTGAGATAAGAGAGCAGTACCCCAACAAGTTCATTCAACGCGACGACACTGAGCGCTTCTACATCCTCAACACGCTTTTCAACCTGCCAGGTGAGATGTCACCTGTGATAAGTAGGGGCCCTGGTAACCGCTCGCGTGTCCATTGGCAGTGGTGGTAATTAAATGTGGGACATTGGACCCAACGATTGGCTTTTTCCAGCCACGGTAATTAATTTTTATGGAGCAACGTTCGCATGAGGTTGAGATAACGCGCCTCCATCCTGTTCAAATACAATCACCAGCGCGACCTTAGCGACAGCTAACTGCAGAGTGAAGTCAGGCCTGCAGCATCAAAGGTTTGAAAAGTTGAGCGGTGGAAAAATTCAGTTGCCAGCACTTCCAAAATACAGCGCCGCTTTACGACTTGCTGACAAGTTGTGTTATACGTTGCCCAATGGTGTTTACTGCAGGGGTGTTACCCTGTCATGTTAGTGACCTCTGGGGGTCGCTCAGGTTTGTGTGTGCACTTTGGGCAGAGGTTGCTTATTTCAGGTGCCCTCACTCAGGTTTGCCGGGTTGGTGTTTGTCTGCTTGTGAGATAATCTATACGATGCTCTGCTTTGACGATGTCTTTCATTATTTGTTTTCTGCATTTTGCATGTGGTTAGAATCCAGTCTTTTAGTTATTGCGAACATGACTCGTATATATACAATGCAATGTAAGCCATACTGTATAATTAGTTTGATCGTTTTGTAATAATTTAAACTGATTTATCTAACCTTTTGTTTTGGTTTGTTTACCATGCAGAGACGTATCTGTACGCTTGTTTAGTGGACTTCTTCACAAACTGTGCGAGGTACAAAAGGTGAGTTTAATTTACCATTAAACTTAGCTGGGGCTGATTTTAACTATGCATTATTGTCACGTTCAAGACTATATTTTACTTCACAGTAATGCACGATTAAAGAATTACTCTTGTCGATTAACCATGGCGTCCGTGGGGGATATTTATCATGTAAAAGTTTGCGCCACTGCCCCCTCTCATTGCACAACGGCCTCGTAGCGTTCAGGGCTTCATCGCTTGCTTCTGGTACGTCCCTGTGCGTTGGTGCATCGCGCGCCGAAATAACCGTGCGCCTCCCACCACCTTGGCGCTGCCACCGACAGGTGCGAGACAGGCGTGAAGGATGGAGACCTGTACATGTCCTTCAAGAGCATGTTCCAGGACGTACGGGAGGCCATGGACTGGGTCCACATGCAGGCGAGCGCTACAGTGGGGACGCACGGCGGCGGCCGCCTACGATCAGAAATCAGAATCACAAAGGGTTTTATTCGCCATGAAAGTTCACACCGACACGGAATTTACTTTGGCAGGATGGTGCATACATTCAACATATAGGAATCTAAAATCTTAAATAAGTTTTAAACAAGTCTTACTGTAATAATAAGGGTTAAAAGTCTAACTAACACCAAGGGGCTGAAGTACCCCACCTGAGTCATTCTCTTGTAGTAAAACTATTCTAAGAGGGGTGGAAGGAATAACCCCCCCCCCCCCGACTCTCAACTATACGGGAAATGGTTTAGTAGTGTGGTCGACAGTGACGTAGCGTGGTTGTACGTATGTTGAACTTCTTTTGCACCGTACGTAGCCAACCGTGCTAATGATATGGATCACGGTGCAAATAATGAAATGGCCCTCCCCCCCCCCCCCCCCCCCCCCCCCCGTCTAGTGCTCGCCCCTGTTTTACCCCCTCTTCAAAGATCTGGTCCCGTCTGGTTGCATGACCTGCATACGTGATAGCTACGCCACTCGCGTTCAACTCTGCTTCCCCATAACAGATAGGCCGTTAAAGTCGTAATTGATTTGACCGATTTTGGCAAAAGTTCTGCCAACGTTTTGTATCCAGTCCCTTGCCACACCTTTTATACATTTAAACTCGCCCAGCCCCCCACCTTCTCAGGTGCAAGGCGCATTAGAAAGACATGAGAGTACTTCGCTAGTGTGGCTGTTGTTAATGGGTGTGTATACAATTTAACTCCACCTGAGTTGAACCCTCAATCCACATATTTTTTTGCATTCCCTTGGCCTTCCCTATACACTCGGCTGTGATAACAGTCCATGTCACCTGCTTAAGAAGTGCAAATGCTGCTATTCTATAACGCGAATCTGTGTCACCTTTTGTTCATTGCCAGTAAAAGGACCAAACTGTTACTATTGCACAATATTGATTGTCTACTGGTTTGAAAATATATATTTTTAAAAAATACACTAAAGCAGATAAACGTTACATTGAGTCTGTGGCCCTTGCCATAGCAAATGGCACTGCATTTTTGCTTCTTAAATGTCTTCGGTACAGCCTGGCAAGTCGTCAACAATACGAATAGTGTTGAATACGATGATGACCTTTGACTCTCTTGAGTTGGTGGTCTTAACCCATGGCTGTTTGGAGGAATGTTAGTGTAGAGCGCGTGCACTACACTAACATTTCTGCTAATGGCCAACACCAGTGACGATTATCTGAACTGGTCCTGGGCCTCCCCTAGGTCGACACGGCCTCAAATGAGTACCTGGTGTGATGTTTAAACATCGCTAGTAGGGAGGCGGTTGGGCGTGGTGCTGGCTGCCCACTCCCTCGTGTGCCGTTTCTGCCTTCATAGGCGCTCGCTAACAGCACTTGCCCCAACGCAGTGTGGTGATATCACTGAACATGTGCAATGCATTGACAGAGGTTCGTGCGGATGGTCACAGTTACCATGCCTTTTGCTTTCTTAGAACCCACCTTCTGCTTGTATTTTTTTTTACTCTGTCTTCAATGGTGCCCTGCTCAGGGCTTTTGCATTGTTGCGTTGCCAGGAAACGTAATTGGTAACGTGTTGTGCCACGTTTGCAGGGCTCCCTAAAGTCAAAAACTCTGGAGAACCTGGAAAAATATGTGGTCAAGGAGGTGAGTGCTAATGCAAATGACATTGATTAACATTGAGTGTATTTGTTTTTGCGGGGAGTGGAAAGCTGGAACACAAACGGCTCTCTTTAAAAGGCCTGTGTACTCCAAATAACAAATAGCTCTTGTAACTAAGTACTTAAACTCAGTGCCCCGGGCTGTGTAACAACTTTGTAACTTCTTTCATGATGAAAACATATCTTAGTTTTAAATAGTTTCCAAACACGTGCTGGGCAGACCAGGATTCAAAGTCCAGGTACATACCCGTGAAACAGGAACTATTTGTTATTTGTGTTACATCTTACTTAAAAGGGATGGCTGCCCGTGATGCAAAGGTTACAACACTTGACTTAAAGGGTCTCCAGTTCTATTCAATGTTTTGGTGGGGAAGCGAAACATTGGGCAAGTTTCTTTTAACCCCCGCCTGTGTCCACCAGGAGTGTGAATGAGTGCCCGTAGTCTGTCAATTGGCAGGTCGTGTGTGTTACATAAAAGTGTGGGTATTCTCCCATCCCCACCAGGATGTCTGGCCAGTGTGGGAGAAGTAGGCCAAATACCCTGTTGAGAGGCAGTGGCACGAGCAAGTAATCGCAGGGCTGCACCTCTATCTTTACAACCACTAACTTAAAGGCCATTCTCTCTTGAGATGAAGTTTGGTGTCTGAACTTGATAAAGGTTTCTCAGGTGTCGCTTGCCATGCAAATCAAACCAAAATTGGCCCGTGAGCCATGTCACACTTAAGCCCCACACGCACTCAGCCAAGTTTAATTGAGCGTGGCACTAAATATGTCGTGCATCCTGCTGTCCTCCAGCCACGTCTTCCACTGCTGCTCAGTCGAATGAAGGAAGTTGGAAAGGTGTTCCTGGCCACAAACAGCGACTACAACTACACCAACGTGAGTGTCCTCTTGTGGGCGCATTGCCATGTTCCATAATACTGCAGTTTTTTTCTTTCGTCTCTTTACCCAATTTTATCCTGATTTTGGCGCTATTGGTGTCACGATGTTATGTCACGAGGTGGATAATCCATTTGGAACTCGCGCAGAGCACTGCCATTGGAAAATATGCAATAGAAGTGGATATCAATTTAAAGCTTTCGTGACTGCAAGGATTCATCTTCTTTGGTTCTTTCGGTAAAGTCACGTAGAATGAGAATAAAATAATAAATTGATCAAATAAAATAACACAATAATATTCTCACGACGTTTCGGCCACAACACAAGCGGCCTTCATCAGGTGAAGGGGACGAGACTGTCAGACAGTGGTGGCCACACCGATTTTTTTTTCTCACAGCCAAATTAACTGTAGGACCAAATTCAACTTGACGGTGTTTTGTGTGCAGTGTTTGCTCCTGGGCGGCGACCATCAACTCACTTTTCTTGAGAACCCTCTTTAATCACAGGCGGCTTTCCTGGATTTGAACCAAAGATCTCATCGGTGCTGCCTCAGCGTTTTGGCATGTGTGCCGCCACCCCAGCATTTTGGCATATGTGCCACCCCATCTCTACCCCGTTCGTATGTCCACTTAAAAGCTGACTGAGCTGGTTCGTGAACTGAGCAAGTCAGCTTGGGCTAAATCCCCAGCTGAATCTTAACTGGCTAAGCCAGCTTCACTCCCGCTGCGTAGCCCGCTGGTACTTCTCCGTGTAGCTCAATTTGAAACGGGAGCGACACCCGTTTAGTTGGGCCCGCTCTCAAAAGTAGGTGTCGTGTCACAAGGTCAGCGTAGAAATGCGACGCACCGTGAGTAGCATCTCTCGCTTAGTTTAACTTAGGGATGTATTTATATTTAAAAAATAATGTTGAATGAATGTATTGAGTATAGCTGAAGGTAACCCAGATTTATAAACTATCGCTCACATTGCCTGGCACGGCTCGGTTATGGTTTCTCATGGCCGTGGAAACGCACCATGTAATGTTCCACAAGGTGGCCCAATATGTCTTGTCATTGGATTGGAATCAGAAACTGGTGAGTCAAAGTGATTGTTACTTTGACCTTTGGATGACCATCGAGTGACACTTTACGTGATAAGTGTGGATATTCAGCTGACAGGTCACAGCGTATTTTATAACGATGCTCACCTAAAAGGAGCGCTGGGGCACGTATTTAATTTTCCAGTCACACTCAGCAAATGCAGATAGTCCGTTTTTGCGGGAAAATCCTTTGCAGGACCATTACCGTATGGTTTAATTTCATATCTTATCTAAGCGGTTATACGATGCGAGTTTCGTGGGGTTTAATATCTGTCGACCATGTGAAAAAATGTAAACATATTGTCTACTTTGTGTCCAGCAATGAACACTTTTGGTCAGATTGCTGTCAAACGAACAGTTAACATGCAGATACAATTTTAATGAGTGAATTAGTGCATTTTTATCGTTTTTTTGCATGTATTACTCCTCGAAGCCCACGTACCTCTGGGACAGATGTGGCTTCGTTTCAACTCATTTACCGCGTTGCCAACGTCTCTTTTTGCAGAAAATTATGAAATACCTCTTCGACTATCCACATGGCCCAAAGGTGGTGAGCCTCAATGTATTGTGCAAGTTGTGAAACGCACATAATCTCAAATTCACCTTGAAAATGTGACAATGTTGTTTCTACATCATGGGACCCCCTTTGCCAGTACCAAAATATGAGAATAGGTTTTCCCTTTTTTTCTGGCAACAAACAAACGCCTTTTGGCGTCCTTTGGTCTAACACCGTTTTGAGACTAAGCTCAAAAGAAAGCTGTCTCTGGTGTGGACTAATCAGTTTCAAAGACAATGCATATATTATCAGACTGTTTTTGTTTGCCACAAGCATTGTGGTTAATGCAGACATGATTCCTTGTTAAAGGTTCCAGTTTGGTGTTTTAACATCTTAACACCTCTTTGTTCCTAGAAAAAAGGGGAAAACCTATTCTCAATGTTGTCTTTGCGAAGCTAATCGACATTTATTCTATTAATATTACAAGTGGTCACTCAGGGCGTTTTGGCAAAATGTAAAACTTTTATTTACGTAATGCAGCAGAATGTAATCTCTGCTTTTACTAAGAGATATATATGGGTGACAGTTACGCGACAATAATGTTTCTCAACTACAAAGAAGCGCATCTTCGCATACTCACCTGGGGTGGCACCTTCATTGTGAAAGCATTTGTGAAATAAATTACCGGGATTTCTGATTTATGCGGCTTCTTGAAAAAGCACAGTGCAATAGCGCCACAGCATACTTGACCATTTTGACCATCTCATGCATCATGTCCGCTTTAGTGGACTGCTATGAACTCTATGAATTCCCAACACATTTGGGGGGGAGGGGGGGGGGGGTTGACTCTTAAATTGCACTCATTTTAACACACACCCAACATGTTTTTTTTTCGTTTTTTAACAACAGAAATTCAATGAAAATGTGCATATTTTGTGATGTAAACGTGTGCTCCAACCTCTGTCCCCATGAAGCCCGGCACATCCCACCGCCCATGGCACTCATACTTTGACCTGACGGTGGTGGACGCGCGCAAGCCTCTGTTTTTTGCCGAGGGGACCGTACTGCGCCAGGTGGACTTGGTGAGCTCATCAAAGTGTTAACACAAAACACACAAATGCGGTCTCAAACATATGTTGGGCTATGTGTATTGGAGTCTTTTTTTATCTTCCATGTGTGTGTTTTTTTTTAAGTGCTCAGCAGTGTTTACTCGACTTGCTTAAGTTAGGGCGTCCTAATATTAAAATGATATAATGTGCAGAATTCCATTTCAGTGGTATTTTGAAAATGTGCTGCGGTTTATATATAGGATGCGTGTGCGTGCGTTTGTACATGCTTTCAGAAAACAGGCCATTTGAAGATTGGCACGTACACTGGGCCCCTGCAGCATGGCATCGTGTACTCAGGAGGTGAGTGAGGCATGTCGACTGTTCTGACCTTAAATACCAACTGCGTCAGCTACTCCCAGCACGAGAGCTTGGTTTTTGTTTATTCGTGTAATTTTGTTTCTTAAAATGTACGTGTCACTGACTTTATAGCCCGTTTCACACTTTTAGCCTCCGCATTATCCGTGAAATGTTTTTTTTTGTCTGTGGAGACCTGGAGTAAATTCGACAGGCACCACGTCACCCGCATTTTCTTTCCGCACTCCACGCGACAATACGAGCATTCACAAGGCGGCGCCAATGGGAGTTAACTTGCACATACCCGGTCCTCACCCAGGATCTTCGGACATGATCTGTGACCTTCTGGGAGCCAAGGGCAAGGATATCCTCTACATTGGAGACCACATCTTTGGGGACATCCTCAAGTCCAAGAAGCGGCAGGGCTGGAGGACTTTCCTGGTCATTCCAGAGCTGGCGCAGGAGCTGCACGTGTGGACGGAGAAGAGCGGTGAGGGGGGGCGGTGGTGGTGGGGGGGGGGGGGGTACGGTAGCTGGGTGCGTGTGTGCCTCTGCGTGTGGGGAGCGGTGGTGTCGCGGTTAACGCGCTGCGCTACGAACCTGGAGACCCGAGTTCGATTCCCACTGACGGCCAACACCAGTGACAATTATCCTGGGCCTCCCCGAGATCGACTCGTCCTCAAAATGAGTTCCTGGTGTGGTGTGTCAACATTGACATTAGGGAGAGAAAGGCGGCCGGGCATGGTGCTGGCCACTCACCCCCCCCCCCCTCGTGTGCCGTTCTGGCCTTCATAGGTGCTCACTAACAGCACTTGCCCCAACAGTCTGTTAAGGCTATATGGGCGATCTTTGTCTTTGTGTGACCAAAACGCAGCAAGTTGGCACCGTGTTACATCTGCCAGTCATCTCAGTCAATCAATCCATGGCACCTGGGTCTCTTCCCACGACCTACTGTCGGCGAGCCTTCGACACTTCACTTGGCCTCATAGTGCACCGAGCCTGGCACAAGCGCCATGGTGACATCACCGCCACTTAGTAACAAATGGCAGCTGTGGTATTTAGACGCAGCAATGCTTGTGTGGGGGTCACTCAATGCCGATGAACGGTTACTGTGCCTGGTGTTGGCGACAGATTAATTTGCAACTCTGTTGCATTTTAATCGTTGTTGCTACACGCAAGGTCAAGAGGCCCACAATGCGAAGTGGCCAGCAATTTTTATCTCTTATGCCGGTGGGGGATGGTGGCAGCTTGCAGAGGACTTTATTCAGCAGTGGATAGATTTTGTATGATGATGATTGTATAGCAGATTGAAGCGAAACACACTGAGCATGGTTATAAGGACTTGGGGAAAATGGGTGATGGGTGGGGAGTTCCAAAGTCTGGCGCAGCACGTGGGGAGAAAACGATGGCACTGCGGACAAGAAGGCAACTGTGAATTGAGTCGGAATGGGACTTTGACATGAGTGGACATTATCATGGTCTGCATTTCATAAGAACGACCGTGGTATTGTCGATTAAATATTGATAAGGGAAGGGACCGAACCGATAGCGTGTGCCGCGATTGGTCTTAAAATGCAATGTATTTTTTTTTTTCTACAGCCCTCTTCGAGGAGCTCCAGGGTCTGGACATCTTCCTCGCTGAACTCTACAAGTAAGTGCGGGAGGAGGAGTAGAATAATGCTTGTTGCTTATTTAAATTTGTAAAGCATGAATCAATTAATGTCCCAAATTTAACTCAACCTCAGCAGTGGTAAAGAGTTAAATGTATTAAAAAAATCAATTCAAGAAAAAAGTGTAACTTTTATACAACGCACCTAGCGTGTCGATTCAAGTTGTACAGTGACTAAAACACTTGAAGTTAACGGTTGACGCTAAGCGAAGTGCTAAAAAATGATCAGCTTGGAGCGATGTTACCTGCTTGTGCTGTGTGTTTGTCGGCTCACATTAAAGTTTTCTCCATGTGCAGCGCCAATGGCTGTGAAGCTGCTTTTCCTGCCATGGGTAAACACTCCCTTTTCCAATCAAACATCTCTTCATAACCTAACCTGCCCTCGTTCCGTCAGAGAGCAGACTCTCTGACGCTGATGCACTTTTATTTTTTTATTTTTACTTGTTTGTTTTTTTGACGAGCGTGTGCCAAAAAAAAAACACACACAATTAATTCTGAGTTTTCTTGCACGTGCGACGGAAACACATGAGAGTTCTCTTCTATCCCGCAGGCACTTGGACAGCAGCAGCAATGAGCGCCCGGACATTAGCTCCCTGCAAAAGAGAATCAAGGTCCGTGGAGCAGTGAACACCGGATAGGAATGAGCCGTCTTGGCCCGTTATACTTGGAACGATTCCCCACTCTCCTCTCGCCCAATGATGCAATTCGGGGCGACATATGTATTATATGTAAATGCTTTCCCAATAATTTTGTGAGATTACTTTAGCTCTGTCTGTCTTTCTGTAGCATGGGAGCACCGTAACCCCTGTGAAGGTGATCCATTGTGAACCGACCGTCGTGTAAAGTTCCGTTACGTTGCTTGTTGGGACTCCACCGCATTGAAAACTGGCCACATTGATAAAACTTTAGCGCAAGATTTCGAGACTCAAACCAGAGTAAAAAGGACTATTTGTAAATGTAATTTTCCATGATTCCTGCCAGCAGCTTTCATTGTGCTAATTAGACGCGTCGTGAACGTTGTTAAATATTCCATCCTATTGCATGATTTTTTATAACTTGTTTTATTTGTGCTGTCTCATCTGTACTATCTCTGTACTATCTATCCTCCCGAGTTCTCGGTCGTACAGTGCATTTTATTTGGTGAAATATGCACGCGTTATAAATTGTGTTTGTGATTATTAAACTGTGACGTGGTGGTGATTCGTACCGGGCCCACAAGCCAACGCGGTTTACGGTAACACTTTCTTCCCGTGCCTTGCTTTTGTCCGCTTCCCTTCTCGGCCGTGGCAGAAAGTCACGCACGACATGGACATGTGCTACGGCATGATGGGGAGCCTCTTCCGGAGTGGCTCGCGCCCGACGCTGTTTGCCAGTCAGGTGATGCGTTACGCCGACCTGTACGCCTCCTCCTTCATCAACCTGCTCTACTACCCTTTCAGCTACCTCTTCCGCGCGCCGCACATCCTGGTGAGTGCACTCATTCCAAAACCATTGTCTTTTTCATTCACCTCTGTCTGGCATTTAATTATTTTCATTTTTTGCTGCTATAAATTTCCACGTGAAGAGCCACTTTTGTTGAGCTATCATTTGTGGCCAGGTCGCTTGTGAAAATAAGTTAATACCTCGGTGGGCTTTACTTGGTAATATAAAATTATTTTTAAGTGATTTGTTTACCTTTCCTATATTTTGCACTCCTATCGTGTCTTTGTATTGTTTGTTGTTGTAACGTTCTGATCCGCCCCTACGTGACGTCTGTGAAAAAGAGATTTATAGCTTATCGGATTCCTCCAGTATAAATTAATATTCTGATTCTGAATTAAATTGTTGAATTTATTAAATTGTCAGCTTTTTTATCTTATGATATTAAATAGATAAAACAGAATTCTACTAACACAGGGGTGGGGGTGCCCTTTGCCTTCCTAAAGGGCTGAATAGGACTTTCAAATCCTTCTATACTTTTGGCCAGCGGGGGTGGGAGGGCAGCACAAATGAACGCTCGTGCACAGCCACGGTCGCTTCTGCCGCCTCGACGGTGTGCTGCGGCTACGGTGGTCTCGAGGCGTCGCTAATTCCGGGGGGGCCCTGCGGTGGTGGGGGGGGCACTCTCTACCGCTCACCCGCAGATGCCTCACGAATCGACGGTGGAGCACGTGCACAATGGGCTGGGCGAGACGGAGAGCCCCATGGCAACGCGCAACCGCCTGCTGATGCAGGGCATGACCGGCGGCGGCGGCGGCGGCACCAGCTGCCCAAGCACCAAGGAGCAACACGGCGACGAGTCGACCGACGGGAAGCGCCTCGGCTTCCAGCGCTCGGTCAGCGAGGTGCGACCGCCGCACCTCCACCCGACCACTCCGCAGGAGATCACTCACTGCCACGACGAAGATGACGACGAGGAGGAGGAGGAAGAGGAGGAAGAGTAAGCTTGCCGACCACTCTCTGTGAGCCCAGTCAATAGAAACAACGTGGAAACGCTCGTTTCGGTCGAAGCGATTTTCACGTGGGATTTTTTTTTTCTACGACAAGCAAAGCACGTTTACCTGAATGTAAAAAAAAATTGGCAAGGAACTGCTGCTTGCCCGCGTGGCTGTTTTGAGCCAGCGGTTCTGAAGGTTTCTATTGGCGCTGGTCACGGGTGAGGGATCTCAGTGTGGAGCGGATTGTGTTCTCGATGCCAGCCTGCCGCGGTGTGAGCAAGCGTGGTCTACTCATGGCGAGCGCACGGCTGGCATCCCTCTGTTTGCTGTGATGGCAGCAATGTGTTTTTTGTCAGAAGATGGTGCCGGTGACCACTGGTCGTAGAGGGCACGGGGTGGGGGTGGTGGTGGGTAGGTGCGGTCACGCTCATGCTCGGCCAATCACAGGACACTTGTTGCCTCCTGATGGGGGTGTGAAGCTAGAAATGCAGTTGCAATGGAACGTTTAGTTGCCGTTCTCTGCACTGTGATTATAGGCACCGTGTATCTGACTGATAAAGAATCTGTCAGTGTTGGGTGTTTTAAAAAGCTGTTTTGCTGTGGCAGTATTGTCTACCTTAGCGCAATTAAATGCGAGTGGTAAAACTACATGGTACACGTCATGTATGTATGTATGTTGAACTTCTTTCGCACCGTACGTAGCCAACCATGCTAATCGGAGATGCGGGGGAAGGACAAGAAACTAAACACAGAAGCAGTTATAAAAAAAAGCATTTTTCAATTCTAAAATTGCACAGCTCCCGTGGCTTCCTAATATTGGAAGGACGAGCGTTATGATATAATTAAGCTAAAAGGAAGTGATTATTTTAAGGCGTCTTGCAATGGGGTATCCGTTCACACGGAAACTGTGGAGGCCGATGGGGGCATCACGTGATCCTGTACACACACGTGGCATGGATGTCCATTGGAGTCTGCTTGCCATGAATTGTGTATACAGCGGTTGTGATTGAATAGCATATATACACCAGGTAGTGAACCATCTCGATCAGGAACATGGGACCCAGGATCCCTCGTGGCGACTTCCTTACTCTGCCACACGTGATGTTGTATACAGTTGCTGCACGTTAATCCATGCGGCGTTGCAGTGTGCGGGTGACAAAAATACGTTGAGAAAGAAGATTTGGGATAAGGTGTTTTAACTCGGCACAAGCAATTCCAGTTTGGGTTTACACTTTATACTGAAGTTGACAAGAAACCCTATTTTTAATAGGATTCCGGTTGTGCTGTTACCTTCATAGAGGTAATGTCCATCGAAGCATACATCTCTATGTCGGGTTCATATGTATTATTTCATGTACGATACATTTGCACCAATTTACCTTTGCTAAACTGAGACTTGTTAGAATCCTTGGTTATTAACGTTAATGGTTGGTTCAAGTGGTCATTTGCGTGTAGTGTGTGCAGCTCAATATGTACTGTATGCAGTATATACGTTGTACATATGGTGTATTGTTATAGATAGGACACCTTTTAGCCGCCTTTGTCACCTTACTTCAAAGTGTCTACCCATGTTGTCACCGGCCAGTGCACTTTTGTCAGTTGAGGATATAGTACCTATGAAACAGGATGCCAGCGCTTACCCATCGTGCAATACTGGCCATGCAGCGATGCAGCAGTATTAAGCTCGTATTATGTACTCGCTTGCGCCAGGCTCATCTCATCGGTTGTCTCGACTGTGTATGGGGGCCCACAGTAAAGTAGCACGGCTTCACGGCCGCCTCCTCCTCTGCTCACCACCCCAGTGGCTTAGCCTGGTTGGCACGGTGCAGTCTCACTCCCTGCGCACTCGATAGCCACTCCACTGGCTCGCCCTCATGGACGGGGCCAAGTTTAGAGCAAGACCCAAGGGAGCCACATTGGTCTGGGCCAGATTACGATCAAGCCAACCAGGGCAGGCTGGAGCCTACGGGCCCACAGGTATTGCACTGTGTTAGGGGAGGTGGTGCACGCAGAGCCGAAGGCATGGGGGTGGGGGAGGATAAAGCAAATGTCCTGGCGTAGGTCCCAAGGTAATGTCAGTCCAGACTGAAAAAGCATGTACCTCTTCGCAAGTGCACACGGGCGTGAAAAAAACAACACAAACAAGGAATGTTGCAGGCATCTGCAGACATGTTTTACCTGTCGTGTTCTTACGTGGGTTCTCTAATTTGTCCTTAACAGTTTTGTTTTAGAAATGTATAATTCCATAACAGAAAATACAGTAATATACATCTTGATAATGAAAAAAATGCATGACTAGCGCTGCAAAGTTATACCTTAGTCCAAATATTCCTGTTTCAATAGTCGGTTTTATACTTAAAATTTGATTCGCACTATTTTACTTATTTCAAATGGTGATCTTTTCACTTGGTCTAATTTTGCAACTTACTGCAACAGGGGATATGCATGAGTGTGCGCTTATGGAAGATTTTGATCGTGGAGCAGTTTATGTTCATGTTGGTCAGTTGTCCTTGGCAAGTTTTTTTGAACCAAGTCATGCTGTTGTAGTGAAGTATTAATTTTGTCTGTGGATATGATTAGAAAGCTTGCTTGAACTACAGTTCCTTTCCATTCAGTGAAAGCTGCTCGTTTGGGTAATACTTTTCAAGGTATTCACAAAGTCTCCTCTCATAACGAGCACAAACAGGCATGCGAAGCTCCAGGGTTTTCTTGAAACTCGAGGTGGTTTACTTCTTGGGCATCTCCACCTCTCTCCGTCCCTCAAGGATTTTTATGCGGCACATCCAGAAACAATTTCTGCTTTCTCGCACGGGATCGTGAACCACTTGGCGGCGACATGGTGTGCTTGCACGGAGACGCCGCTTTACAAATCCATTCTCTTAAGAAGCGGAGCTCTGGACCGTCCACGTGGGACCGGCTGCATCGTTCCTTCCACAATCAATCGCTTTGGTCGACTTGATATCAAGCGAGAGATGAGTCGTCGACTTGGCCATACGTAGGACCACGCAACTGAATCCGTGTTTCCACCAGCGCTGGGGCCATTTCAAGGTAGGCGATGCTGGCAGCTTCATGTTAAACTGGTGGCGTAGGAGATGCCTCTGTTCTCCTTGTTCAGCTTTGCTCACCAGGGCGCTTGATTTTTTTAAGTCGCAAGATTCCTCAAACTTGACCTTGCCTCCATTGACGCTGGTTGCTTCGAGCGTCATGCAAAAAAACTGGTTTTACAATACAGTATTGCTTAAAAATATCCTTACATTGTAATTGGTGCTATCCACACGTAAGCACAAACCTTCCCTCACATCCTGGCCTGGGCATTTGGATATTGTTTTGTTGGAACGATTCCACCAAATTAAAACATTAGCTGCCACAGATGCATGCTTAAGAAAGGCTAGGACTGAACCTTGCTATGGATGGAGTCTGGATTCCAAACGGTTGGGTTTCTTGAGAAGAACCTCCGACCCACTTCACCACCATGCAACTTGACAACAGCAAGCGCGTAACAGGAAATGCACTTCCAGACACAAATGAAGCCAGCCTAATGTTGCGAAGGCCTAAGCACGTATAAACGTTTTCAAGACCGTTCTCCACATGCCTTTCCGTTGGACCACATTGTCCACTTCCTGACGGCGCTCATGTATATCCCCCTTAACCAGTGACCAAATATTGTATTGAAGACTGGTTATAAAAGAACGTTTGAAAAGTGTACTGTAATTTACTTTTTTTTACGATTTTCTTTTCCCATTAATTCCGATCGGTGTGCTGTAATGTATCATAGCCCACATGTGGCTGCTGCAGGAGTGCTAAGCTATGCACCACGTGGTGTGAATGATCATACATGTTTACCTATTATATACTTTGCAGTGTTTTTGTTACATTAAAACTGCCACTTTAATTCAACATTTTATACAATTGTTGCATGCTAAATAGGTAGTGTTTTGTTATATTCATTTGTGGTTATTGCTTTGGAAAGTGATTTGTTGACCCGGATTTTTTTGTTAAATGCCTAAATGTTTGCATATTGAGAGTATCGATTACTACTTTTAAAATGTGAATGTTATTCGGGCATCCTTGCTGCATTCTTTTCCTAGTGCTGTGCTGTCAAACCATATTCCAATAAACACCTTGTCCAGTTATTTGTGAAGGGTATTGGTGGGGTAGGTGACCTGTTGGGAGTGGGGGCCACCCGACACCCTCCTCGTTTTTTTACTCCTGCAGTCGCCACAGCCAAGTTGGGAAAAAACAATTGGAGATCGAAAGACTTAAGTTTGCATGATGTGGAAAAAAGTTTGTATATGGGACCATGTGCAGTAGCCTAACCCAGGCAGGCTATTGCTTCCTTTGACAAACATCCAGTGAGTGGATGCCAATAAGTGAATAGCAAACGCAAATGCAAATCTTGTCATTTATTAATGAGCATATAAGGCAAAATTTTGTATGAATCTCTTCTGGAGACCTAATTTCCAGAAGTGGTTTAAATAACTTGTAACTGACAGGTTTATGCACACTCTGCAAATTCTGTACATGCAAATAATGTTATTGGCAATCTACCATGTGTTGTCCTCTAGGACCTTTTGATTATAAAATGCATCCTTTCCTATCTTGGTCTTTACAAAACTAATCCCTGGCTCTAGGTAGATCAATGGTAGATCACCAATGAGGAAAAATACAAAATAAATTCAAGACGCATCACACTGGCTCAGCAAACAACATGTAAACAATTAGTACAACTTTGGCCTTTAAGCCCAGTATCAATGAATAAAATAAGAGATGTTAATAAAGACTTCTCTAAATCCACAAGCCTCACCTTTTCCTAAGAAAAAAATGCAACCCACTGCCTTTACACTAAATTCAAGTGATTTGCATGTATCACAAACACTAATAATACTGCAAACAGGAGTGAATGACAACTTGGATTCGAGGTACGCATTTCTCAACATCCCATCAATTCCAGTACGCTCCCAACAGCTGGTAAATGTGTGATTGCCACGCACTTTTAAACCAAACGGCATAAAGAAATGAGTGGTTGTAAATGTCCAGTGACCTTTTTAAGAATAACCTCAAAGCATTAAAACATTTGAACCCCCCTAGTTAAAAAGAGTGCATTGCATATATAAATATGGCATCAGAGACGTCTTTACTTTGGAGAAGGTTAAAAATGTTCGCATTGGGATACAAACACTTTCTGAAATTCAACACAAGCGATAGGCAAGCTGCAGGAGAGGTGGCGTTGGTGCCACTTGGCTCCAGCTAAATGTAGGACTCCATGAGCGGCGAGTTGAGCAGATTCAGCACCTCCGGTGCACTCTGTGGAGGGGGTAGCGTGGGGGGTAAAGAAATTAAGGGTTGAGAATGTGACGTCAATTGCTACAAACAGCAACTGGCAAGAATATACAACTACATTTAGTATGCATGGATAAACATTTCAGGCAGTTGATAATACCGAGTTTCTATGCACAATGGTAGCGGAACCCCATTCGGACTAATATTTGCAAAATTATTATTTCTATGCTATATCGTGGTGGGTTCTTTGCAAGCTAAGTTATTTCAAATGAACTTGATCAAGCTAAGCAATTTCAGCCTAGTTATTACTCGGAAGGACTCACTGGGAATACCAGGTGTAGGTTTTAGATTTGAAGTAGACGGTCATGGTAGTAGCAATGGATTCTTGAATGTATCGGCAGAACTTTGTTACTATTTTACATGCATATATTGTCTGAGTAGTTTACTCCCATCGAGCAAACACTGTCATGGAATTGATCAAATATCCAATCCCATTTGTTAATCCTTTACTGGATGAGGGCCTTCTACCACTATGGAAAAAGTGAGGGTTATTTGACCATACTTGACCTTGATAGTGGGGGGTACAAAACAATAGAGATTGCTGCACTGCCCTCTGCAAGGCTTACTACCCATCCAATAGCTAGAGGCTTCGCTTCCGTGGTGTGACGCAATCGGGCAATTCCAGGCCACTTGGTCATAGGCTAAATTAAATTTTACGTGTTATTTTGTGATTGCATAACACCAAACAAAACATCCACTGCACAACTGCAAACTTAAGGAGGATTTTTATTTTAATAAAAAAAGCTTTATTGCACTAACAGCCAAAAACCACCCCAAATGCATTGCACTAAATTCACTTTGTAATCACGTTAACAAATTTTAAAACATCCATATTCACAGCAACGGTGTGCCACCGCAACTTTTCCCAATAGATTTTCCCGCGGTGGCAGTGGCAACCGGCAGCACCGCAAGTAAGTAGGGTACACTGGCTGGTGGGGAGGGTGGGCGTGGGCAGAGATGCGAGGACCGTTGAGACACGGGGTGCCATTGCGTTCAGGAGTAGACCAGCAGCTCGAGCGTGGGTACCTGCCGAGCCTCGTGGATCGCGTCTGTGGAGCGCGACCGTCGCTTGGGCCTCCCGCGAAGTGCGGCCACCGTGCACGGCTGCGCCTGCCGCACGGACAACAGTAGTTGTTTTCAACTCCTCCCCAATCCAGCGCCACAGGGAACCCAAATGCATGCAAAACAGTTCCACCAATGCCTTGTTTTTGCATGGCCAGTGGCAACCCCAAACTGGTTTGATGCCGGCACTGGGGGGGGGGGGAGTGCTGGGCCAGAAAACTCGAGTCCCCGTGGCATCTGGGCCTAACTGAAACGATCCCATTGTATCCCAAAAGTTCAAATTCATCAACGGGCTTTCACCTGCAACATCGGAACTTGTGGTAACATCACGGAATCAACATGGAAGCGAATTGAGCAGTGATATCGCTTTGATTTCCTGCCATGTGTCTTAACATAAAACAAGAAAATTATAATAGATTAGCTTAAAAAAATACAACTCAAAACCTATGTTAAAACTGGATGGGAAAATAACCTTTTTTCCCCACTAGTGTGTATATACATATATTAACTATTCGTAGGAACACAATTTGCCCCCTCCAAAATGTTTAGCCCGAGTGTGCCACTAAACAAGCCCTCCATGATCATTGGGAAAGCGATGACGGTCGTCGTTCAGACCGTAGCGGAGGACGGAGGAGTCGGCGTGTGTCCCGGGGTGATGTCGCCGCTGTATGGAACTCGGCGGGACAGCTCTGAGCCAGGGGTCACGGTGCCGCCACTGCCACCGCTGTTCTTGTCCATTCCAAACTGCACGCCCAGAACCCTCCTCTGTGCGAGAGGGAAGTGCGCGAGTAGTCGCGAGGTCGGTTAAGTGTTCCGAGCCACTCATTATTAGACTTCCAGTTTGCAGTCTCACTCAAATACCTGTTGTGTATTAATACGCGACCACAAAAGGTTTGAAAAACTGGCAAAGTTGGACAATAAAAATTATATTTAGCATGTTCAAGGCCAATTACATCTAAAAAAAATTCCAACAAATACATTTATGATTCGGCAAATCAGGAAAATAACTTTTGTACATATACAAATTGAGTGCCGGGTGGAGCGATGGCACAGGGGTTAGCGCACTACATTATGAACCAATGTGTGAAGTAGTCACAAACGACCCTCAACCGACACAACGTGGGGAAAGAGGCCTTGAGCAGTGGACTGACAAAGCTGTAAACTAAAAGGAATAATTTATTCCACTCATAATTGTAGTGCTGAAGACTGTGGTAATTAACATTGACTCGGATCCATCGGCTACAGCGTCAAATAGACAATCGCGCGCGTGCGCGTCCCTTAAGCCGCGCACCCTGATTAAGCCGCTGAACGACCGCGAGCGGGTGCTCCTCTTGCTGCGCGCCTGGTTCTCCGTCACGGGCGTGCTGACGTTGCTGTACTTGTTGAACTGTTTGATGACCTTCTTCTTCTTGGCGCTGTCGGGCATGTTTTGCACGTGCCGGAAGAGGTCCCGGATCGCCTCGTCCGTGCGCCGCTGCACGTTCTCCGTGGGCTCGAGCGAGCTCGATACGAGGCGGCCACGCTTGGGCCCCACGGGGGGTTCGTCCTCCACTGCCGCTGCTTCCATTTGATCCTGCATGCGGGCCCCAAACACGGCTCCCTGTCATCACGGAGTGTGTGGCCATGGCTGTGGTGAGCTGGCTGCCTTTGCTCTCCAGGAAGGGTTCATTAGCCAGGATAGTGCTGCCCTCTTGAGGCTGCGTAGCTGTAATGTCATTTGGAAGTTGGACATCTAATGCGAGTCTTCTCTTAACAGGTCCCTGCAGGGTGGGCTGGTAGGACAAGTCTCTGCGCTGTCTATTGCTGATTTTACACCCAACAGCACGAGATTTCACTTCGTTAAAGTATTGAAAGGGGACGTACGGACACATTAATCTATTGCAGGCTGGTACACTCAGTTTACAACTTCGTTCCTACCAGTATAATGGACAAATACCTGTCTTCCAGGTCTCCAGATCGGGTTTCTATCGAAGTCATTATACTGAAACTCTCCTAATGTGCTAAATTACGTGTTTTCTTCTCTATTCAGACCTTAAGATTATTCTCCTACATCAAGACCTTTATGGTGATTTTGACACCATAGACCACTCGACCCTCCTTAAACATTTTCAAAACAATGCAGGCATCTCATGGCACAATTATATCATCTTTCCTCTTGAATTACTCACAGTTTATTTACAAGGGCTGTCTTCATCTCAGAAACCCTGTGCTTTGGTGTTCCATAACGCTCCATCCTAGGCCCTCTGTTCTTCCCATTTCATCTCCCTCTTGGAAAAATTATCTTCAGATGTTTTTATCGGCCACTATTTCTAAGCCGACAACTCTCATAACTCCATCGCCGCTGATATCACAAACCCAATCTAACTGTCCACTCTCATCCTGCGTTCATGCGGTTTCAACTTTGGTTAACTCTTCAGGTAAATATTTTCTCGATTGGCAAAAATCCCACTCAGTAAAGAGTGGCAAAAACCCTGAAGTTGTCACCGATCCCTCAATCGCAAATCGAACTTGCACGTCTTAACTGCAGGACTTCATACCTCTTTGTACAGCAGCTCCCGCGTCCACAATTTCCTTAGCATAATTGCTATTGGAGACCCTCATTCTGACTTGACTTTCAAACTCCTCCTTCCACAGCCTATCAAAATCCCTCATCTCCAAACTCCAGATGATAAAAAAAATGCCACCGCTGCTAAACGTCTCACCCATGCCCATCAACAAGACCACATCACCC